AATCAAATGCTTAAACTTTTTAGCATTTTTAAGTATTAGATCTTACACTTTTCATACGAAAGCACTGAATCTTTTATAAAAAAATTCTGACATTAATACCTCACTTTAATTTAGTTTATCAATTTTTTTAATACTACCACATCTTCAAAGTACACTTCAGCAATCAGACCATTCACACACCATTCTAAAACATAGCGTTACAATCATTGCTATACCCACACGCATACATAACCCAACACGCATACCGACCACACCTACACACACGCACTTACATTTACATATCTCCTCGTACAAGTAATCACTGATTTTATTCTAAGGACCGATATCTATAGCAATATTTTGATAAAATTATTTAAAATTAAAATGTAACAAGTATGCTGTTATTTGTTTTTTGTTTTTTTTTTGGTTAGATAACAATCTAATTTATAATACAATAATTATAAAACTCGCCAGAAATTTAATCATTATCCGCCATTGATGTTACTATATATATTCATGAATTTTATTTTATTTATTAGATACAGTTTTTAGTTATTTGTAAAATTTGATAAAGTACAATTTTAGACAAAGCTTGAAATAAAATGTGCAATATTTTTAGTTGTTCAGTTGCATTCCTGCCATTTATTCTTGCTTTGATGTCGCTGTGTTTGCAAACATGGAATGTTAAAAAATGATAAACGTGAGTTCTGTTGTAAAACAGTGAAGCTTAGACAGCGCAATATTGAAAATTGATGATTTTATGAAACAGACGCTGCAAACGAACACATGCTGCATTTCTGTTGGATCGCTTGCGAACAGAAGACTAAGGATGTTTTTTGGACTGGTTGGTATATCGGTGTTGCAACATACGATCGGCATACCAATCCGATGTTAAGTATTGAACATAAGCTTATTCTTCAATATTGACGTGACGTAGTAGCGATTGGGTGCATCTTTTTCAAGTTTATTATCGTACAACTTCTGTAAAAATATTCCTTTGATTACTGAAAACTATGTATTACCGTAAACAATTAAAGTAATACTTTTCTGTCAAAGAATGGATGACTAAATATAGATAAAATTTACATAATGACTATATTATGGTAACAGGTATTTCAAAAAAGTGTCAAAATTTTTGCTGAATAATATATATAGATAAAACAACATAATATGGTAATATCGGTGTTGGTAAGACATCGGCTTTGATTTTAGGCCGTTTCTTGATTGGTCGACGCATCATCCGTCTTGTCGAGGTCTTCGATAACACGTACCTACATCTCTTGATATATCGGCATTATTCAGTTGCTTCTACGTTTATTATAAAAGTCAATGTATATAAAATATTGTATAACATGCGCTCGAAATCGGCTCGTTTACAAAGTCGATGATAACGAACTAAAGGCAATAGTGAGAAATCAAACTATACGAGATTCTATTACCCTATTTCGTCCCGTGGCCACGCGTGGGCGTCGTAAGAGGCGTCTATAGGAAACGCCATAAAGATGTTATGGCATCTAAATAAATAAGGATTTAACCTCATAAATGTACGAAATTGAATTCTCACTTGTTTATTTAAAAAAAAATTGCATTTATATCTATAAAATATTTGCACACCATATAAAATGGTAGAATGTAAATGAACCATTAGACATAATTTGAATTTGAACTTTTACCGTACGCAATGCCGTATGCAAAATACTCAGCCCGGCAATGGGGAGCTGAGTCAAAGGTGTGAGAAGTTGTGTGATTGTCAATCTGCCTGTCAAGCGTGACGTAGGCAACCTCCTACAGCGGGAGATATACACGTTCAGTAGTTAGTTGACTTTTACGAGCCGGTGAACATGCAGTGAAAAAGGAATATCCTTAAAATACGTCAGAATTAGCAGAAACTGGAAAAATAAAAGATTTGCCAGAAAAATAAAACTCGGAAGAAAAGCACCGATTAAATTAAAACAAAAAATGTATTTATGATATTTTTGTACATCAGCCTCCGTTTGAGCTTCATTCTTTTACAATTCTGAAGTGCTGTAAATTGTTGAATATCGTATATATATCATAGTAATAATACTAAATATTTTATAAGTTTATTAATGATAGATATATATTTTATAGGATAAGGGTGACAAATAAGCACACAGTTCACCTCATGGTAATTGGACGCTGTGGCACATGGACATTTACGTTCTACATCTATCCTGAAGTGAAAATGTAAATTTAAAATACGTTGTCACCCCTTAGGATTAAGATGAAATGCCACGTTACTTATCTTAAAAAGGGTATCCGGTAATTTACACTCACAATCCGAAACATAATGCTACTATTTCACGGCTGAACCAATTTAAATGAATATTTTTTTTTATTTTATATTTATTGGACACGTATAACTTTTGTAGGAAAAGGGTTCGAAAAGTAAGGGCTGAAATTTTTAACGTAAGTAATTATATGATCTTACCTTGAAATTGAATTCGTTGAAACACTATGTGTTAGTACCGACTTCATAAGCTTTATTAAATTATGTAGAAATATTTTTTTTAATTTTTGTAGTTGATTTTATTATTTAAAATTTTAATTTTTCGTCGATCATAACCGTACTATTCCTTAAGTTATCTTTCCTAATCAACCAAATATATTGTTGATAATAATGTCCTTCAGACCGAATTTAGGTCGCGGCGGCCTACCTCATCGGAAACTAGCCACTAGCGCAGGATAGGGCTATAGTGCCCAAGTGTATGCGCAAGTACTCGTACAGGTGCACTTTCTATTCCCTATTCTCATAGTCCGATGGAATGGTAAACGGACACGACTGGAGACAGATCAGGCGCAGGACTAACGGCTTTACGTGCTTTCCGAGGCACGGGGGTAAGACAGCGCCAAATTTTTGACTCCGAGCAGCTACTGAGAATTTTCTGATGGAAAAGCTCAATAACTGATTTTTTGGTCCGACTCATTACTATCACTACCCATTCACAACCATTAGACCAAGAATGCAGTCACATAGTTGTTGATAATCATATTAGAGGTCCTCTATGACTGAGGCTGATATTAAAAAGATTACGTCAAGTAAATAGTCGCGTAAGTTAGAGGCAACTTGCCACAGACGGGTTGTCGTTCGCAGTAGCAAATGTCTTGCACCACTGATGCTGCTGCCCGTTACCGGTCTGGGTATTTTACATATGACGTATACGAGACGTTAAGCAATGAAATGTTTGTAGTAATAGTCACCCCTTACAACACCGACGCAATGTAATGAGATGATGAAATATCTTATGTTTACAATCGCACGTAAAAATCGCAAACCGACATTCGCTTTGTATGATATAAGAAATTAAAAAGAGATACGAGTACGCAGTCCACCTAATAATAAGTGGCTCGTGCAATCCGTGAACACCTGCAACTAACTTAACACAAAGAAAGCCACTTCTGTAGACTAAGATGGAATGTTTCACAGCGCTTAATTATTCTCACACTCTATAATCTTCAGACCAAAACACAACAGTGCTTACACTGCTGCTTAACAGCAAAAATAGGTGAGAAGGTGTTACTTAGATAGAGAAACTCCTAGGCAGAAAAGTAGCAGAAAAGGCTAGTCATCATCATCATCGGTTATGATTAACATAAATCTAAAATATCTGAAGAACATTGTATTTCTAGCCAAGTGTATTTGTATATTATTATATGATATTAATTTACATCCAATAATAAAATATCATAATGTATAAATACACTGAATACTTAACAGTATACTTATAAATATATCTATTGCCTTGTAAATCAAAATTAGTTTAATAGTATACTCATTACTACTCTATGTATAACTTGTCTTAATATATCTTAACTATAAATATTAATTATTCTTCGAATCTAACACGTAAATTATATTATGGAGGAATAAATAATCCGCGATGCTCCAGTGCGTATAGCGAACTTGACATGTCTTCGAAATATTTTTATACCGCAGACGTGCTGGTTTCCTTACAATATTTTCTTTAACCGCTGAGCACGTGGAAAATCAGCGCCTGAGTTGTATTTAATAATTTTATTTGTGCCGGCGGGGATCAAGCTCAGGTTACCGGCGTATTGCAAAATTTATAGCCACCGCTTAGTCCTGAGTCTTAAGCTACCAAGTTAGTAGATTATATTCGTAATATTAGGTGTAAAGTAAGGGAACGGCCTGTACAATTCCTACAGACGTGCTCAGGTCTCGTCTCGTTTCTCCGGGAGTTACAGAGAAATTAGTTCACCGCGCTGCTCCAATGCGTATTGGCAAACTTGAATTGTTCTCAAAATATTTTATTTTTTAGACATGCAGGTTTCCTCAAGATGTTTTCCATCACCGACAAGCTAGAGGTAAATAAGGATTTTAAATTGCAATTAACAATTTCATTGGTTCCGGCGGGATCATGATCTCTTCTTTATCTAAATATTCTTTATCGCAGTATTTAAGCGTACATAATTTAATATTTAAATGTCAGACTAATCTTATTAAAATTACCATTAATTAAAATATGAAATTATTCATCCCCGTGAGCAAAGTCTCGCCGTGCTATTTAACAGCGCGTCGCACCTGCCGGAGGCGTCTTAGCTTGGTCGAAATTAATGTGACACAAAGTCAGCAAAGTCAATTACACTTTATTAAAACCGTCTCCACTTATATCAATTTGACACAAACTGTTACAAATACTGGCAATGTTCCGTCCTTTTATGCTCGCGAGGCGGGGCTACGCAAGCGCTACGCGCCTACAGCTCTTGTAGACAAAGCGGTGCCTGTATGTGAAGCGCGGCCAGTATGCAAACGGAGCCCTTCGAGCTCGCAGCGACGCGCGGCGCTGTTTTGTTGACATTAACGCCACGTTGCTACAAGCATCGATGAGTGCGACCACGATACCGATGCGTTCTTTACAAATGAATAATTAATTTATAGCCTCAAACGACGAATCGATGAACTATCTTCGATTATTTCCGATTAACTAATAAAAATATTTTAAAACGTTATAACACCGTATATGATATACACTAATATGATGAATCGAACAGTCATTTCGCATTACTTGTTACTTATATTGCTGCTATCTATCAACAATTTTGTTTCGTCATCGAACGGTAAGTATGACCACGAGTCATAAGGTACATTAATTATAAACCATATTTTGTTTAAAGAAGTTTTATTTAAAGTTAACAAAATATGACTAAAACATCAAATTTACTTGTTTCACAAAAATGCAGTTATTGTTTATGCTTATTACAGAAAAAAAAAAACAAGAAAAAACTTATCTTTCTATTTTCGCATTTTATTCATAATTTTACACAAAATTATTAAAATAAAAAGAAAAAAAAATTAATCATTATTTCACTACTTTACATATTTTCATATTTTTTTCATCTTTTGTTTATTCATATTTCCTTGTATCCCTTTATATTATATTGTTTTTATTCCTTCATTAATTACAACCCATCACAAGTCCACTTATAAACGTATAAACATATCTGATAATGTCCCATATATAACTGCAGTTTTTTACAGCATACAATGTACATGTTACGATATTTACTGCTCCGTATCTTATATAGTAAACGTCTTATAGTTTCTTATTGATTGTATGTAATGTTAATATAGTCTAACGACCTTGCTTATAATTGTCGATTACCCCTTCCTTTAGTTTTAATTGTCTCTGTACGTGTCTCGTTCTATTGCCATTTAGTGAAGAAAGATAGAAAAATTATACGCATTTCTTAAATTGACGTCGATTTTTATGAGTTGGTTCGTAATATATTAATAATACAGTGAATGTTTTAACCTTATACAATAAGATCGAAAATTACATTAAGCAATGAATAAAATCAGGCAAAGGTAATTGTTGGAGGGAAATATTATTAATTACCCTTCAAAGATATAATGTAAACATAAAAGTTCTTTTCCACGTTTTAATCAAGATAATAAGTTGTTATTTTTATTTAAATACTATTAATTTAATTTAATTTTAATTTACTTGAGTTTATTTCAATAAAATATTTTTGAAGAATAAAAAATCTAGTTTTTAATTATCTATCCACGCATTTACACACACCAAGAAAAATACGGAGACATAACAACTTCTCAATTTGCATTCACGAATAAATCTTTCTTCTTTCTTTCTTTATCAGTCCGTAAAGATTCACTGCTAGACCCTTACATATACACCATATATACCATTGAGTCATGTTGTTTATTTCAAATTATTTACATAATATATATATATATATATATATATATATATATATATATATATATATATATATATATATATATATATATATATATATATATATATATATATATTGTACGGAGTAGAGCAATGCCGCAGGTATATTAGCAGTATAGTTGTAGCAGGGCTGAGTTGACTCAACCGGGGAAGAACCACTCTCTCGCAGCATACCAGCGTGAAGTAGCAGCTTAACGCTACTGTGTTTCGTATGATGAGTGTGATGTGTGTGGTGAGAACTGGAAACCCCTTTTACTGGTAATGTGGCATTCCAGCTTAGTCCTCACGGGTGACAACGCATCTGCATTTTGATACGTAGTGGAGGATAGATGTAGATGTCTGTGGGGCACAGCAACTACTTACCGTCAGGTGGACTGTGTGCTCGTTTGTCATCCTTGTCCCATAAAAAAATGTGCACTACTCGTAAAGTGCGTGGCTTAACGTCACTTAAAATGTGTACAGCGCTCAATCTTCCTTTCTTTGTTGGTTTGAGCACATTTTCATGTTTATAGGAAAACAAGCGCGTTTGTACTACATACCTTGAATCAGTTAATATTTAAGAATAATTTTATTTTTGTGTTTTAAAGTATTTATTAATAGATGGCTCCGTAGTGCATCGGCTTTGTAATAAGTTACAGCGCTAAAGGCCGCGGGTTCGAACTCCGCACGAAACATGTATTTCTATATAATTGTTCCGGGTCTGGGTGACTGTCCTTGTTGCAATTTAAGTACGTTAATTGTCTACAATATAGGGAAAACTCATACTGTGGTTTTAGTATAGTAAAGTTTGTTTAAAAAATATACATAATAAATATGAAAATGGAGGTGGTGTAGTCACCGCCTTGAGGCCAAGGGTAATTAAAATCGGGAGGTGCTGTGTACTCAGGTCGTACAGCACCTTTACCACTATCAGGCAGTTGACGTTCCTAGAGAGCACGATGTCCAGTACATCCGGACGTTTCCGTGGGTCTGTCGGAACATATGTAGGCTCTTCGGGATCCGAAGTGCCTGCACATGTTCCGAAATCTAATCGACATCGAATGATTCGATTCACGGTGACGATGGTGAGCGTTGTGCCTTCTATTAGCGTCTGGACGTCTGAGGAGTAAAATGGAGTCCCTGGTGGGCAGTATCCTGCAAAGATCTTTAGTTCCTCGCCCGCCGCCTCCGTTTTTTTAAAATTCTTCTACTGCTTAATAATATATATAATTGTAAGCAATATATCTAACATATCTAACAGCCATATATAATGGGGTAAACTTTTGGAGATTTTCAGACTGGAAAGACTATTTATTCTATCCTACCCGTTATTCATTCAATTAAATTATGGATTGAACAATAGACAGTCTTATTTTCGCTACGGCTGGTACAGCGTTGATATCAGCTACCCCATTATTCAGCGGATTAGCTTTTTATTGAAAGGACTGTGGAATATTCAGAAGAGTTATTTGATTTTATATCAATCTTATAAAAATCACAAAGTATCTAATGTTAACCTTTCATAATAACTTATCTATTAACTCTGTCTTCAAAAATCATTATAAATATCATTCATTATTTTATTACAGCGTAACAAACATCCACAACTTAGGCCTTCCCGTGGATAGTTTATATGTGGGCATTTTCCATAGTTGGCACGTTTGACAGGAGGATTGGCTGCGACGGTTTTTAACACTTCGAGTTTTTATCGGGAAGATTCCCATTTCCGTTTTCATTTCTTTCTGTCGCCTCTTACGATGCTCATGTCAGTTTATCAAACTTAAGATATTCATAGAATTAATTTTGTATTTGTGGCTCCATAATATTACTTTTTACTTATAAAAAGCAAACACGCTAGGGTTAACACTTAATACAAAGTGCATAAATGAAGACAATTGGAAGATTTGTGTATTTTGAAAACAGAACGTATTCACTGGATGAACCTGATTATTTAATTTAAACATGACTTCACTTTCTACATCTAATAAAGTCAAATTCAGGGCATGTACTATGTTGCTTTCGTTAGGAAACGAAACTTGCGTATTCTTGTCATCTAATTATCTCTACGCTTTTATGTCGGTAGATTTTTTGCTTTTGATTTGTGTGCTCCACGGGAAAGTAAGGCTGTTATAAGCGAAACACAGATTGGGGCAGGCATAATTTGTTTTAGAAGGTGCTAGCCAGTCCCATACAAAACAGATCTATTCTACAGACAATTAAAAATTAAAAAAATATTTTTTCTAATTAAAATAATATGAATATAGGGAAATTTATAACAAAAATTAAAGAATACGCATAAAGATATGCATTTATATTTGATTTTTAATTAAGACACTCGTTTATAAAATTCAGATTATGGCTCAGAATGACACTAATAACAGTAGTGAGATTCTTTATAAAAAATAAAGAAAACAAATACCGCACGAGTCATAGCTCAAACTTCTTCTTTCCTAAAGCTTCAAGCCTCGGAATTATATGGACTCTGACATATATCTCCGACAACTAAGTTCCCTCCATGTATTAACATCTGTGTTTTAACATCCCTTGATTAATAATGATTGGAATAATTGGGGCCTTCCGCAGCCTCCAACATGTGCCTAAGCCATTATATACAATAGGTGGTATTTATGTATAAAAATATACAAAATATACAAATAAGAATCTAAGAAGGAAAAAATTTGCTAAAAATAGACAGAAAATGAATAAAATAAAAACGTACATATGACAGGAGTAATGCTAGTCGAATATCTAAATATGCACTCGACATGATCGATGAGAACACTCTCTCGAAACAGAAAAAAATAACCTCTTAAAATCTATGCAGACCATCCCTAAAACGTCAGACAGGCTATACGAGTATAACATATATAGATGCTATGCAGGCGACTAATGTCTATAATTCATAAAAGATAGCTTGATCTCTGCGACAGCTGTCAGTAAAAATCACGCCTATCAAGTCCTGAATTTCTTAGTAGTACAGACAGTACCTGTCAATGTCATACTTTATGGGCATGCCGACCTAATTAGTGCATGCCCATAAAGTATCAGATTGACAGGTACTGTCTGTACTACTAAGAAATTCAGGACTTGATAGGCGTGATTTTTACTGACAGCTGTCGCAGAGATCAAGCTATCTTTTATGAACTATAAAGAGCAACAGACAGTAAAGATTTTTTTCTACTGTAATAATTATTACCATAACATAACATTGAAATATACAATAAAAATTAAATTAAATCTATATAAATCAATAAAATTGAAGTGTCTGTTTCGTATACGGTACTTTTAGCAAAAAAACAATTATATTTTTTTGTCTGTCTGTCGATCTGTCTGCCTGTCTGTTTATTCCGGCTAATCTCTGAAACAACAGGACCGATTTTGACGTGACTTTCACTGGCAGGTAACTGATATTACAAGGAGTAACTTAGGCTACTTTTATCTTAGAAAAACAATTAGCTTTCCGCACAAAAAAATCAAAACCTTTGGAATCCAACCACAATAAATTCCACGCGGACAAAGTCGCGGGGAACATCTAGTCTCTATATAGTAAACTAAATTAGCTTCCCGCCGTCTATACACTTAGATCTTTTAAACAACGCAACGGATTTTGATGCAATTTTCAGCAATAGACAGAATGATTCAAGACGAAGGTTTATATGTATAATAATATATGCATATGTTGTCGAGATCCGTGCAAAGCCGGAGCGGATTGCTTGTATATCATAAAACTAAGATTTAACACAAAATACAAACGAACATAATATTAATTTTAAAAATATATAATTTATATACCCAATTATGGCAATGAGAGGAAAAATATGAGGATACACAATTAATAAAATTGCGATCTGATGAGATGGGTAGTTCTTCTGAAAGAGAAAC